AACCCCTTTACCGCCGCTGCGGACAGTTTGAAACTTCACTCTACATGTCTAATTTTTGACTTTTGTTGATAAATGTCAAGATACTACACTAACAGCGATAGCAAGCGAATGAATTTTGATTGATAATGAACCCGATACTCTCGACATTTCAAGTTCTCATCTATTGGTACAATACTTACAAAAAAAAAAAGATTTGTGATAAACGAGATCAAGCATCGCGGTCATTTCTCCAAAGCGCCTGGCATGCAGTGGCTCGCGGCGGCTGACCTCGCAGGTGTGCACTACAGGATCGCGGCTTGTAAAACCACTTCGGCGGCAGCAGGGTAACAGGCCGCTCTTTCTCGGAGTACTACACCGCGGGAGATTAGGGTCAATTCTTCTCGCATCGGAGACGCAATACTGCGCTCCAGCGGGAGGCCGGAACAATGGCGCGCTGATATGCACACAGCGGCGAACTCTGGATGCGTCGAATGCAATCTGTCACAGTAACGTGCGCCGGTGCAGCACGGCCTAACGCCGCATTGCGCCCGGTCGAGCTGCGAGATGTCGCGCGGTGTTTACGATCGGACCATGATGACGGCATCCACTTCCTGGCCACCGTGACGAGGCACGCGAAAGGGGGCCAGCCGCGCTTGAACGGCCGCCGCTGATCAGCGCTTGCGCAAATGAACCAGGCGGGATGAGCGCGGTCGGCCCGATTTCGCCGGATCACTTTCGTCGCGCCGGCCACGTAGATCTGCCGTTTGAACGAATGTGTGCGCACATTTCACTACTAGAAGCGCCAGCGCAAATCGTCTTCCGTTATACACAAGTACGCAGTGTCTAACACTACTCGAAAGTGCGTGCTATATATTTATAGCGCGACAGTGGTGAACACACCGACACATACTGCTGTAACTTCGAGGTTTGCGATTTGGACAGAAGTCTACAGTCTAAAAATGCGTATATTGCTTGTAAAAGCCACACGATTCCTTTAATGCGGTCGCTGATTTAGCGGCAACAAATTGCTAATTTTGAACTAGATGGTGTTTCGTAACATGCGCCAAATCCTCGGTGAAAGAGCGTGTTTACATGTACTGCCCGCTTTGAAACGCAGCCGCAAACGGAAGACGTTCGTGTCCTGCAAGGCTTTGCGCGAGATGTTAGGCATACAACGGCGCAGGTATACACTGCCTGCGGTCACGCCTCGATTGTCCGGCGGTTACCGGCGCGTCCGATAAGAGTGCTGAAGTAACCGCTGTCGCGGTTGGCAGCCGCGGCCCTTCCGGCAGCGCGCTTCCTCGTCGTCACCCAGCGGAGGCTTCGGCTCCGGGCGCGCACCCGCGTCTTGCCAGTCATGTTCCGCTCCAAGTCGGTGCCATAGACCACGGCGGACCGAATTGTATGCTAATTCCGGGCAGGTGTAACGACGGTAAGCACTGTCTCAACGACTGAGAAACTGGGTCGCCTGCGGGCTCAGGAAGGGGAGAGCGCGGCCTTTCGCCTTCGACGCCAGCAGGGCGCCCAAGCGGATCCCCGCGCGTCACCTTCGCTCTGGGCTTGTCGCGCGTGACGGGCTGCTTGCTTGCTCGCCTGGTGCACACTGCGCTATACTGCGACGTCGTGGGACTCGCCCTGGTATGACGCTGCTGCCGTGGCGTTTTCTCGCAGAGTACGAGGAGGTCGCACCCAGGGAGATGTCCTCTGTTCAACATTGCACGAAATCTCTCATCTTATAACTGTAAGCTTCATTTACATGAACTCGACTCGAGGATATCGAGTCAGAAACAGAAATAACATGCGACTCGAGCACGATCTGACCATGTCAACTTGAATCTAGCCAGACGGTTTCGGAAAACCGCCCCGCCGCGGTGGTCTAGTGGCTAAGGTACTCGGCTGCTGACCCACAGGTCCCGGGTTCAAATCCCGGCTGCAGCGGCTGCATTTCCGATGGAGGCGGAAATCTTGTAGGCCCGTGTGTTCAGATTTGGGTGCACGTTAAAAAACCCCAGGTGGTCGAAATTTCCGGAGCCCTCCACTACGGCGTCTCTCATAATCATATGTTGGTTTTGGGACGTTAAACCCCACATATCAATCAATCAATCGGAAAACCATCCGATGTAGACGGGGCTCAACAAATTTGCCTCGACGCGCTCACTCGGTCTGAGCCGCTAGCGTTTGCACGAACCCGATGAATAGTATTTCTGACAAGCTGCCTCGAACCGACGCTGAAAATGTACACGGGATATCGGTCGGGGCTAGCCAACCCCGACTGATATCTCATGTACGTTTTCATGAACATCACAAAGCCATCGCCTTGCACTGATAACGGTGGATGACGAAGCGCGCGTATCGTGTGCTTGCCTGCATACCATGCACCCAACAACCAGACGTTCTTTTCGCATGCTATGTTAACTGGACGAAGGCTTTGGCTGAAACTCATGCAAACATCAGCGCTGTTGGGGTTTGGAACTCAGACGCATTTTGATATGAAACTCGACTTGGGCCGTTTTCAAGTAATTGTGCACCGTATATTTGAGAAAAGCTGGATGCACCTTTGATTCCAGTTGTATACGTACAGCGACGTGTTAATATGTCGAGTTACAAACACCGTCGAGCTTGTGAAGCGTAAACAGTGAGGCTTCCCCGTCAGGCTTCCCCGTGCTTTAATTGAGCAATGATCCTTTGATTCTGAGAAGCGCAGAATGCGCACTCTTTTGATTGATAGTGACTTCCTTCAAATTCATTTCATAACTCAGTTCGCACTATGACAGGTGCGTAACCTGCACGGAAGTCCTCATCAAAGTAAAAAGAGTCATTGATTATCTGTCAGAAGGACCCAAGTCGCTTAATACTCATGGGAGAATTACTGTGCATAGTTTCACATTGTATCGCACCTGCCGTCATCCCAAAATTAGGAAAACCCATGGTATATTTTGTTGACGAAATGGGTCAAAGTCGTTTTTACAAAACGTAATTAAAGGCGCCAACAGAAATACACCAAACGGGATAGATATGCTTTCTATTTCCACGCGTTAACCATCATACTGTACAGCATACACGGATAATGAGAAAGAATTATATCATAGAGCGCCTTGCTACATATTCTTAAGAATTTCGTTCTTGCGCTTTCCTTTGGAAGAAAGCCCCGCCGCGGTGGTCTAGTGGCTAAGGTACTCGGCTGCTGACCCGCAGGTCGCGGGTTCAAATCCCGGCTGCGGCGGCTGCATTTCCGATGGAGGCGGAAAATGTCGAGGCCCGTGTGCTCAGATTTGGGTGCACGTTAAAGAACCCCAGGTGGTCAAAATTTCCGGAGCCCTCCACTACGGCGTCTCTCATAATCATATGGTGGTTTTGGGACGTTAAACCCCACAAATCAATCAATCAATCAATCCTTTGGAAGAAAAACAATGTGTGGTCAAAATAAAATAAAGTGAGGGAACGGAATATCCCCGACTGCTTGCTTGTGTTCATTTAATCCCTTCGTATCTTCCCCCGCTTGTGTCTGGTTGACCATCGTGTCTTTCTTTCCTCCTCCTCTTTCATAAAAAAAAGGAGGAGGGGGATGAACTGAGCTCGGTAAGAGGCACGCAGACATACGTGAACGCGTATGCAGATTATTGAATAAGATGCGAGAAGCAGTATATAGATTTGCCACAGGCTGTTTTCTTGACGTCATGCCAGGTAATTTTATTATCAATTAAGTTGCGGCTCAAGAATACCTTTACACACTTGGCGCGATATCAAAACAATGTTTTGTAGACAAGCATTGCCTTTAATATTCTGCGCGCTTCATCGACCATGCGGGGGGGGGGGGGGGGGGGGGGCGTTATGGTTCGCATGGGATAACCCCGTGGCGCCTCGCATTCGTCGGCGGTGTTCTTATTGCTAAGACAACGTTTTTGGTTAGTTACTTTTTCTTCCTTTTACAACAAGTACACTACTACTACTACTACTACTACTACTACTACTACTACTAGCAAGAAAACAAACAGATCAAGACGAATGAGAGACTCAGGTTAAATGAGTTGGTTGAATATGGCGATGCTCAAGTGGAGGACTAGAGTTGGGACAAGTGGAGCCACCTTTCAATTGTTATCGCGCAAGGAAATCGACCACAAGAGCTTAAGTGTACCATCCTGTACTGTTTCACACTTATTCTCGTAACATGCAACTTTCTTTTTTTATTCTTACTGATTTATATGTCGACGCTGTTATTTGTCGCTATGTGCCAGTTTGACGCAATAATTTTTGTGTATTTTTCTCAAGAAACACAAGTAAATAACGTACACTAGGTCACATCGGAAACGCTTTTTTATATTTTCTGATATTGCTCTGATATTATTTTTGTCGTATTATTTTTAATGTGCAAAACTGATGTACTATGTGTGCTTGAGCATCCTTTAAAAGAGCGGTGTATGCGTCCCTGAAAGAGCAATTGCACGTGCCCTCGCACTGGTAAGTACTATATACAATGCCATTCCTTTATCTCACTAGTACGCCGACGACGCCCTTTATATGACACCAGGTGAGAAATACCGACCAGTTTACTTCCAGGCGACCTGATCGGACCGACGGTGCAGCCGATTTCGAAGACGACAATAAGCGCGCGGAAAACTAACCCCGTCATCCCTCGAATTTGACACGTCCTCGTGCACTGAATGTGCATCATTGCGCGAGAAGCTGCGACTGACGACCGGTATAACAGCGTTGCTGCTCTCGCGAGCAAGGCCGCCGGATTACGGTAAAGCGCGCCGCTGGGGCGGCGGCCCTGGTTCGGGGCAAGTCATCTGGCTCGACCGCGCGTAATATCGGCCGTTCTTGGCGGCGCCTGGGTTCAGTGCCGTGCTCTCTGGCGCGGCAGGGTCGTGACCTCGCCAAAGAGACGGGCCCCGGGACCTTTTTGGCCCCGCCGCCTCGCGGTGACTGTCACGACCCGCCCATTCACGAGCCGCCCTTGTCGTGGCGGCTCGCCCAACTCGGACCACCGCGGTGGAATAGGTGAGAAAGAAGGTATTCACTCGGTTCGGCCACCATTCCTTTGGCATGCAGGGCTCGCTCAGGCCTATTTCCATCTGAAAAGACAAGACAAAAGAACGCTCGTGAGATGACGCTGCAAGTCTGAGAGCAAAAAACAAATGCAACACTGAAAGATCTCTCGTTGCAACCGCATTTTCCTTTGTTCTTCTAATGCGGGTAGAGCAACGCGTTCGGCTGTTCACCCCTTTCGTTGCGTAAATCGTATGACTGTTTACGGCAGCTCCCGACACGGTCTCACACGCGCTGTGGAGTGCGGATTGCCCGCGGCAAACCGGCTGAGTTTATCTCGTAAGGTGTCTTTTTCTCTTTTTTTGTCCTTTTGGAACTGCGCCTGCAATGATTTTCTTTTCGATTTCTACGCTTTTATGATATTGCACACTCATAATAGTGAGCAAAGAAAGCGGTGTACTTGTAGATCGCAATAAAAAACGCTCACGCACCCACAGCTTGTCAGTAGATACATACTCCAGGCACGTTTTTCGTCTGCGTTACGTGGTTCCTATGGCATGCATGCTCATCCACTAAAACTCCCGTCGATAAAGAATACAGCTCTGTGCTTTCCCTTCGCAGATTACGGAGTTTAACAGGAACTCTTTTGAGCAGACTGTAATCCACCTATAGCGGTTGAAAGCAACGTATACTGTGTACACTGTGACAGTAAACAGAGAGTCTTTTAGCAGTGCCCATTTGTCATACGATGAGTGCGAAAATATTCTTCACCATCGTGGCCGCCAACGTTACTAGAATAACGTTGGTGGTCGCGGCAGATAGTTTTTTGACAGCGAGGCTGTCCATGAAATTGTTCATTGTGCACCTCGTACCAAAAAACTGTCATAAATAGGCATGCGCCACGAAAATTGGGTGAATCCCGCAAAGAACTTCTATTAAAAAAGAATAATGCAACAGTCAGCCGAACAAATAACTGCAGTGTGACGGCTCTTAGCCCAAGACCCCGAGTACGTTGTGAGAGTCCTAGGGAACAGGAAATTATTGATATGTGGGGTTGAATGTCCGTAAAACCACCGTATGATTATGAGAGACGTCGTGAAGGGCTCCGGAAATTTCGACCACCTGGGGTTCTTTAACGTACACCCAAATCTGAGCGGACGGGCCTACAGCATTTTCGCCTCCATCGAAATTGCAGCCGGCGCCGCCGAAATTCGATCCCGCGACCTGCGGGTCAGCAGCAGAGTACCTCAGCCATTATAGACCAACGCGGTGGGGCTATAGGGAACAGGAAAACGGCGACTGCGAGAACCCCGAATCAATGGAAGGCCTATACGCCAACGACGACGGCCTAACTCGAATCTTTATACGGCGAGAATCAACGCAGAAACAGCCTATAGCATCGCAGCTAGAAACAACCTGCATAACATATACAGGGTGTTTCAAGAAACGTGTCCAATATTGTTTAAAAATCAGAAAAAGACGCGATTTGCTCGCTGTCTTCACCGTTAGTGTCAGGCGTCTTAAGGGGGCTGAAGACATAATTTATGACATCAATTAGGCACGTTAAATTAATTAACCATTTAAGTAGTAGAGTTAGGTCAACTGAGATAATTGAAGTCCTCGATGCGAAAAACGCATTGCCACTTTGATATTTTGAAAAACTGGCCAGAAGTAATAACTACAAATTAATAAAATTCTCCTACATTCTGCGGTGAAACCGAAACCAAAGGACCGATGAGCGCAACTAGCAGACGACTACAGTGACGTCACTGTTGAAAACGGCGCTTACAGGAATACAGTTTTTCCCCGTTCGTTATCGTATGTTCGTCATGCGTGCTGTGATTGCGAGTGCAACACACACACAACGAAGTCGGTTGATGGTTGATGTAACAACGCTCCCTTATTTCTGTTACGTTCTTTCGCGTTTCGGTTTCACCGCAGAATTGGAAATAATTTCATCAATTAGCAGCTAATACTAGAGGCCGCTTTTCCAAAACATTAAAGCGGCAATCTGTTCTTCGCAAGAAAGACATTAATTCTTCCATATGACTTCACTGCCTAACTCTATTAATTGAAAAGCTGATTAATTTAACTTTCATAACCACTGTTCCTAGTGATGTACTTAACCGTCTTAAGATGCCTGCCGCTACAGAAAAAGCAAATGTCAAGACAGCGAGCAGATAGCATCTTTTGGTGATTTTGAATGAATATTGCACACATTTCTTGAAACACTCTGTAAGGCCAGTTTTGTTGCTTCAAGGCTTGCGTAGCTCAGTGAAGGCGTCACCGATTTTATTTTAACCTGCAAGAACTGTATTACTAGATGTTACTTTCATAATCTCATATCGTCGCCGCACGCAATGAACAACTCATGCGGCTAAATTTTTTTTTTCAAAAAGCTGCGTGTCAACGATGACGGCACGGTGTGATTGCGTATAGGTGGTCAAAAATAAATCTCGAGCCCCTCACTATAGCACTTCTCATATGCACATTGCATTGGAGTGACTTCATTTGCGATAATATAAAGACGTGTGCTCTCATTTGGGTGCACGTTAAAGAACCCCAGGTGGTCGAAATTTCCGGACCCATCCACTACGGCGTCTCTCATAACCATATGGTGGTTTTGGAACGTTAAACCTCACATATCAATCAATCAATCAATCAATCAATCAATCAATCAATCAATCAATGCAATAATATAAATATTGTTGCGGGAGCCCAGATAGGGTTAAAGAAAACAGCTTGAAAGGGCCCTGGCCATCGTATACGCGTAAGTCAGCATAACGCACAGTTTCACTGGGCACGCGTTGCTATTCATAATAATGAGCATGACTAAGTAAACTACATTATCATGTGCACACCCATCATAAGATAGACCGGTAATTGCATTAATGCGATCAATCATGTTCAAGATGTGTACACACTGCCATTTATTTATTTATTTTCTCGTGTTTTTTAACCGTTCGCCGACGTCAGTGCGAACAATGCCGCTGGGGCACCCGCTATTATTGGCACACACACTCGAACCCGGCCAAAGGCTGCATCGTAAGCGCCTGTTGCGGCGGCCGAAACAATGAGGCGACTTGCGAGCGCCAGCACATGCCATGCAGTATACAGAGTTGAGCGTATATATTCTCCTTCGATCGATCACGTTAGATCGTGCGCGCACACTTTCACTTTTGGATAATGTGGCGCGAGAGTTCACTCTAGTGGCGTGTACGGTTGTGCATACCGCTGACATGGCTACAGTAAGTGCCCGCTGGAAGTGGTGGTATCAAAATGCGGTCGATCTAAGGCGTCAGTAAGAGTCCTCTGTACTCTGTCTACTCTTGTGCCTTACGCGCTGAGAATGATTTCTTCCGTCTAACACGTTCCCCTCCTTTTATGAGAAAATTGTTCATCAGTTGAAAATAATAATAATAATAATAATAATAATAATATAATAATAATAATAATAATTGATGGCGATGATGTACGCCTTTCTGCAGGTATTCATAAAGTCTGTCCGTAAGCGAAATTCTGTGAGCATAAAGTGTGCCTCGTAATGGCACACGGGTGATATTTGCGTTGAGGCCCGTGATGATGGGTTCGCCAGGTGTATTCCCATCTCCGGACACGCTCTGTGTGCTCTTCTATTTTCTATTTTTTTTTCCCGCTTCGCACTCTCGTCTGCTGCGCGCGCCCATCGCTCCCCCTGATGGGCGTGTTTACTTTCTCCGGACTCTCCTTTTTCTCGCCGCTGCAGAAATAGGCCCATCAAGGACGCGTGCCGCGGCCCGCCAAGGCACGCATCGTTTATGCGGTCGGGCGCGTCCGCGGCAAATCTGGGTGATACACTTTCGTTTGCCACCTCGGCTGACTCGCCGTGGGCGCGCCTGGCCCAGTTTGGGCGTCTGCCACGTTCCGCCAAGGCATTCGAGCGCGAAGGGGGCCGCAAATTTCGCCTCGGCAGAGGAAGAAGAAGCCCTTCCTACGATCTTCTTCTTCCTGGTGTGGCGCCAGCTGAGTGCTGGCGTAATCCTCGCGGCCCCGGAACCGCAGTCCCGGCACATCGAGCACGCCGGGTCGGCAGGAAATGGCCTCCCGATGGATGGCGCGCACATCACGTGCACTCACCCCGACGTTTGACTTCCCTTCTTTTCAAGCACGTAGAGTTTCCCTACGGGGATACCCTGAGTTCAGTTGCCAGGGGCCTGATCACCACCGCCCTTTTATTTGGTAGTTTATGGAGCTCTACTTCTTATTTGCACTCGTTAGTATTCAAAAAATTGTTATTTTGCCGTATAATAAACGGTTCTGCGCAGAAGTGTCGTTGCGAATTGTTGCATTAATAACCCGACGTTCATACTGATGAAAACGATCACTGCCTTCAATTGTGAGCCGTTTGAAACGAGGAGAATAGCGCTTAGGTAAGTAACATGCACTGCGTGTAATCGTCACTACGCTGTCGTACAACGAAATACAGGGTGCTTTATTTTAGACAAAAAATTTAATTATTGAAGCTGTGACAAGGATTGCGATGCGGGCTTGTGCTAGCACATCTTCAGTAGGTTACCTTGTCGTGCATATACATGGCAGGACAACATAAAGGCTCATATACAGACACAGGGCGCTAATAACCTCCAGCATTGTTTACTTTAAGAAGCCAGAGTATATTTATGCACTCGCCGCACGAGTCACATCCATGTGATCATGGTGAACAAAACGAAAAATACATTGAAATCTGAAGGCAAGCGCAGATATTCTAATTATTTTTCTCACACTGCCAGTGACGGCTTGCTGGTACACATATCTCCAAGTGCCACAATCTATTCGGCTTCCATTATAAGACATGTTGATGATTTGATTTGTGGGGTTTAACGTCCCAAAACCCCTATATGGTTATGAGAGACGCCATTATAAGACATGTTTAGTGGCGTATTCAAGGAAGGCGTGGTTCAACTCGCCCTCCCAACATTTTTCAATTTTGCTTGCGGAAACACATGCACACATACAAATGCACGCGCTAACATGCATAAGTATAGTTAAACTCCCCCCCCCCCCCAAAAAAAAAAAAAGAAAACCAACTATGCCCCTGGTCATGTTG